TGCTACAATGAAGGGCAAGGAACCGTATCACTCACTTCAAGCCACCTTCACCTCCATGTTTCTCTTTGGAGCAAAACGGAACATTTGCTCTCAACATCGCTTTATCTCAACAGAGAAATATCCAGGGACCAAATTCAACAGAGGAGAACCCTGGTATTTTAAAGCACTTTGCATTTGCCCAACAGGATAGGCTCCCCACTCTTACGTACTTTCTACAAGTACGCCTTATCAACGATTCCCTACAGATCTTAAATCACCTCCATGTTCTGCATTTAGACAAACAACCGTTTTGCCAAAATAGTCACACTCAAATACATCAGCATTTCCACAGTACACTTTGGTATGTTTGGGCATAACCTTTCCTTGCATTTATACGTGGAAGGTATACCTGGCAGCTGCAAGTCTGACTCATTATACGGATAGTAATTATAGCATCCGCCTTCTCATCTTCCTCAACGATTTCTTAAATGAACACAGCGAAAGCTGTTAAGCTTGAAGAGCAAAAGAAAAAAATATCGCAACTTGTAGTTTACTCTTGCCCTTTTGCCATTCCACTTCCTTTAGGCACCTGCTTCGTAACGGGAAAACCATACACAAAAATCGCATTCCAGGACTTGGTCGCAAGTGCCTCAGCCGCATCCACGCAACGTACTCGCAGTGCCTGACAGGCTCTGCCATTTGGCTCTCAGGGCAACTTCAAAAGGCAAGGTTACTAATGAGCAGCTGCAGCCGAGCGGCTGCGTTTCAACACGGGCAACTGAAAGGGTATAATGGCACTGCCGCCAAACCCACCTCATTTACATCCTTTTGTATCGCCAAGGACTTTAAAGTTCGGCAGTGTGCTTTCCTAAACAAAAGCCAGAGCCAGCACAGCTCTGACCTGCAAATTTGCTTCTGGGACTTCCACGTCCAACAAAAGTCTATTCGCCTGGTGGCCCTTTTTCCTGCTTGAAGATTTGAGAGCATCGGGAGGGAAACTGACAGGTGAGGTCATCAGAAAACACGCAGGAAAGGGAGCATCCAGATACGCGGAGAAGCCTGGGAGCTGTAGTTCCCGTGACTGCCACACCCGCAGTCAAGGAACTCCCGGATGCTCTCGCTGCCACCGAAAGCTCCTGCAGAAAGACAGCAGGCACACTACTGGTTCCCATTGTCCATCTTCTCTAGTTACAACCAAGTTTGCTCCCTTATCTCAGCTTTTCAGATCTTCACTAAGGTATAAACTTAGGAAACCAATGAAGGCTTGCATTTTTTCGCTTCAACAATAACAATGCTGCAATGATCCCACTTGATCTTCTTTGTACTTCCTCATGCATGCTATGATACAATTTCCTAAAGAACACTGCTTTCTCCAGTCAAGCTAGAGAGATATTCTACCATATTCATGGTGTTTACCTCACTGTTTGCAATTACGAGTTATGGTAGCATAGAACTGCTATCAATGGATAATTCATACTGAAATACGTTGCCGTGCAAAACCCATGCTCCAAGAGCCACACCAGGAAACCAAGACAGAGCAACAAAAAACAGAAATCATAAAAAAGAAAAAGGAAAAAAAATCCAGAATCATGCATTTTCTGCCTAACCACTCCCAGACGACGTGTTAAATTATCAATAAAATGCAGGACAACCTTTCAAACAATAGAAGAAATCGTGCTTTTGTCTCTTACGAAAGCTTTTTTACTATTCCTTATAGACGGATGGCAGCAGGTGCAGTATCCCTGCCTCCTCCCCCATCAATTTGTTCTGCTTTCCTGCCACTCAGCCAGGGCAAAACCCTTACCGCCCCCCCCCCAAAAAAAAGCATATATATGTATCTACACACAAAAACACATATATATAAAATACACCTTCCTCTAACAAGAAAAAAAGGAAATGCACTTACACCCAATGGCAGAAAGATCTCTCCATAAATTAAATTTCTGGACAAAAGCCAGGAAACACGAAGGCACTTTAAGTCTGGAGAGCAGCCACAATCTTTTAAGGCTCCCAAAGATTTAAACAGAGAATTTATTGCACTACTCTTATATTAAATGCCCTTTAATAAATAAATAAATAAATAAATAAATAAATAAATAAATAGAAAGCACATACACAACAACGAAAAAACACAAGAAGCAGGTCAGGGCTTTTCAAGTCCATATGCCAAGAGGATCAAGTATATACTAAACACTCCCCATTATTTCAGAAACCATAGGTCTCAGAATGCAAATGACAGGCAAGGAGCCATCTGCTGTGTCCATAAATCAGCTTCTAAGTTACAAGTAAATGCTATTTCAATTTAACAATACATTAAGTCATTATTATTGGGGGGCTACAGGAATACATACAAAAGACAAAACTATACTAAAAGATGTAAAGAGACACTTTTGTTCTCTATCTACCAGGTAACTACTTCTCCAAAAACACTGCTTTCAAAGTTCCTCACTAATCAGCACCTATCTCTTGCTTTACATTTAAGCTGCTGTAGAGCTACGTTTAGGCTTTATTCGGATCACGATAGCTGGCCTCCTCTTTGACTGACTTCTCCTTCAACATGCCAGCTTCCCAAGTCCATGTGATTCTGTCTCTCTCTCTCATCCACAGGGTGGGGAGGTCAGGGGGAAAAGGAAGACAAAAGCTTCCAAAATCCAAGCAAGGGTCCTTTAGCGTGGAAAGCGTAACTGAGGTGCTGAGTACTGCTGAGTACTGCTTTCACTAAACATGGTCTTTCTGCTTTATTTTGGATTTTTAATACTTTTTACATTCTCTATAATACTTTCTACATTCTCTATTTTATGCATCTTTAACAGTCCCATTTCCATTGTGCAGTTCCCTAGGCACCCCATGCATTCATAAGGATTTCTGTTGGATAAACATTTATTTGAGTGGGGCAGCAGACGATACACAGACATTTCTAATTTTCTTCCTCCAGTCTGCTTCTCTTGAAAAAGAGGCTTTCTTCTCTGCTCCCACAGCCGAGAATTCCCCTGGGACTGCTTAATAGCGACTGTAGCTAAGGAATCACTCATCTGTAGTCTGGCTCCCTAGGTGGCTAGTGAGGCATCTGATGTTGGTTGAGATGAAATATGCGCAGGGACAGTGATCACAGAGGGCGTGGCTGAGCCACACGCAGGGCTGGCTACACAGGCAAGGGAACGATGACCTCTTATACACACACTAGTAAGCGGTAACATGAATTTAAGAATGTATAACATATAAAATAAGCTTTGGAGCAGTGCCTAGAGCGGGAGAGCTGTGCATCAGGAGTGCCATGTTGATGCTAAACAGGTGGCGTGACTTGGCAATGGACTAGAGCCCACTGGTGGCAGTGACCTGGCATGATGGGCGCTGCAGTTGTTCCAAAAGCCAGTGATAGATATTGTGCTGGTAGACAGATACAGAAGTGAGGAGACAAGGCGTCATCGATATGGGAACGAGGGAGTGCAGCAGCTAAGAACAGCACAGGAACGAGGGGTTAAGAGAAGTGGTACAGCAATGTACTTAACAGGCGTGATATGAGCAAATTAGCAGAGCAGAGGGATATGTTGCAAGGACACAGAGTTGGGCACAGAACTATCCCAAAAGAGCACAAATGAGGACAGGAACAGCTTTGGTGTGGCGACAACTGCAGGTAGGTAGAGGCAGTTATGTAACAACGGGCTGAGAAGGGGTTACAAGAGATGCGGGGCACAGTAATGGTATTCTAAGGGTAAGAACAGGGGGACAATCATGGCGGAGGACCGCAGGCCACAACGCTTTAAAAGCAACAAGGCATCTCGGAGAGGCTGACAGAACCGATGTGGAACTGGGGTGCAGTAGTGGCAGAGGCAGGAGAGGGGGCAGCAGGCTTTTCTGCTGAGCAGCGATCCGGACAGCTCGGAGCGCTGTGCTTGGGCCGGGGCGCTCCGAAGCGCAAAGGTGCATTAGCCCAGGTGAGCGGCGCGCTAGGCCGTGCTCCCGCTGCGGGAGGCACGGGGGCCAGCGCAGGAGCGGCGACCCCAAGCCGCCCGCGGCACCGCGGAACGGCCGCGGGAGCGGGCGGGGGCCCGGCCGGAGCTGCGGACCGTTACGACCGTTAACGGTCGAAGCCCCTAACGGCTGTTCCCGCTCGAGCCCGCCCGCTCCCGATTGGCTGCGGCCGCCGACCCCCCCGCAGCCGCGCGAGGACGGGGCTCGCGCGCGGCCGCCGCACCCCTCCCCGCCGCAGCGCGCCCCGCGCGCGCTCCCGCCCCGGCGCTCCCCTCCCCGGCCGCTCCTGCTGCGCCAGAGCCCGCGACCCGCGGCGAGGGGCGCCCGCCTCCGCCCTGCGGTGTCCCCACCTCTCCTCCTCCCAGCCGCCACCCTGCAGCCTCCCCTCCCCGCTTTTGGTTTTTCCCTTTTTTTTTTTTCCCGCCCCCCCTTCCCTTCCCCGCAGCAGCTCGCACCCGCGCCTTAAATTGCAATCGCATCCCACACATCCCCCCCGCGCTCGCTGCATTTTCGCTGCTCATGCATCGTTGCCGGGAATGGCGCGGGAGGGCTGCAAACGCTGCGCTGAGGGGTAGCATCCTTTTAATATTCACACTGCGGTCGGCACAACAAGGACCGGCCGCCGCCTCACGCGGCGACACCATTAACGCGTCGCACGCAGCATCCATCCTCGCCGCCCCTGCCCCTCCATTGTCTGCGCCGGGCGAGGCGGGCACCTCAGCCCGCGGAGGGGGCTCGGGCGGGCGGGCGCCCCTCCCGCCGCTGCCCCCCAGGGCACGGGCATCGCTCGCTCACGCCCTCCTCGCTCCCCCCTCCACCTTCTCCTGTCAAAGCCGCGCAGCCCGAGCCATCTTTGCCCGCCGGCTCGCACGGCGGCGGGCACCGGCCGCCACCCCGGCCGGGGAGCGGGCCCCGCACCGCGGGCTGCCTCCCCGCGCCCCGCAGCCCGGGGCAGCGCCGAGCGCGGCGGCCGCGGGTCCGCCCGCCCGCCCGGCCCCATTGTTCGCCCCGCAGGAGGCGGCAGCGCCCGCGCCCCGGCCCCGCGGTACCTGCGGCTCCGAGGAAAAGCAACGTCCAGGGCAGCGCCGTGGCTGGCAGCATCGCAGCCGCTGCAGGGGAGGGAGCCGCCGGCGAAACAGGGCTTTCCCGCAGCTGGACCAAATACCGCTCGCTCCTCTTGCGTTTTTGTCTTGCCCTCGCCCGTTCTTTCTCTCCTCCTCCCGTCTGCTCTCCTCCGTGCCCGCGTGCAGTGCTGCCGCCCTCGCCGTGCGCTGCCGCCCGCCTCGCCCGCGCCCGCGCCCGCGCCCGCCCGCCCGGTGCCTCTGCCAGCTGCGCCGCGGCCGCGTCCCGGCGCCGCGCAGCGATGAGTGACAGGCGGCCTCAGCACCGCGCGCCGCGCAGATCCCTGCGCCAGCCGGCCCCGCGCGCCGGCTGCGCCGCGCCGTGTTCTTCCACCCGCGCCGCCCTCAAATAGTACAGCGCGGCGGCGCCGAGGGGCGCGCCCGGCCGCCCGCAAAACGCGGCGAGGAGCGCGGCCCGGGCCCGCCGGGGCTGCGCCGTGCCGTGCCGTGCCGTGCCGTGCCGTGCCATGCCATGCACGGCGCGGTAGCCCTCGATTGTGCAGCACGAGAGCGGCCGCGCTGGCACCGCGACTTTGGGGTGCGCCGGGGGCCTCGCCCTGCCCTGCCCTGGCCGCCGCCCTTGGCCTCGCCGCCTGCACGTGCTGCCGCATCAGACCCGGCCCAGCGCACGACGCGCTCGGATTGCGCTACGCTGCTCCGGGTGTAAAAACTCTGGTTCGCTGCTCGTCTCCCTAAGCACGCGCTCGTGCACCTGTGTGCTCTTCCCTCGACATGCGAGATCACGGAGAAACTACTATTTAGGGGGTCAACACCCACTATACAAAGAAGGGAATGGTGTGAACCAGTCTCTAAAACTACACTTAGGCTGAGATTGAACAAAACCTTCCTCAAGATGATTGTGCCTTAACAGCGCTCTTCCAACACCTCTCCAAAATACGAGAATTACCAAGAGGTGTCATTATTTCAATGTTATGTGCAGTTGCTTTGAGACCCAGGAACAAGCCTAAGCAACAGCCAGTTTTATGACAACGTTAGAAAATAAAGGCAATTTTGTTCAGGTGTAGCCTACAGTCTGTGTTTTCACTTCACTAGTATTAGAGAGAAGCACTTCAGATGAAGTAGACCATTGTCGTAACATGCAGAATAATTTGGCTTAGTTGATTAATTGTAATTCCTATTTAAAAAAGGAAATTTAATGCCTAAAACAGTTATGAATACAGAAAGACCCCTAATGACACAGATACTTGATTAACAAGGAACTGACAAGTATAAAACATTTAGGCGGAAAATACTTAAAAAAAGAGAAAAATACATTTTGAACACAAATTTAAAACATCAGAAATCCAGCAGCTTTTTAATATAGTTGATCCATTCCAACATTTTTGCTATTAGTGGTCTAAAGGATCGTTCCAGACCATATTCTCTCATTTTAATGGATTCTTTTCGGTTTGAGGATTCCCCTCCCCCTTTCTATGTTATAGAACAGCTTCTCTAAAAGAAACAACAAAATTACTTATTGCAGCATGATTGAAAACATGCCTTCTCTGCTTCCTTGGCCTGCCTAGCCCATGGCCTCATATTGGAATGATTATCTCCACTGAGCAACCTTGCTCAACCATGCCATGTGCTATCACTCTCATTACTACTCTGCTCCCCCAGGGCCTGTCCCCAGCCTCCTGAAGTCCTGCATTCCTGAACTCCGTGTATCCTCACTTGCATCAGGTCACTCATCCAGGAGGATGCCAATGCAAATTGGAAGTTTTCAGATATGCTAGAGCCTCTGTTCTAACTGCTTTCAAACAGAAAGCCGACATCTATATGAAAGTATTTCTCTCCACCAGTAGAAAGGTTATCCTATACCTTGAAAGAGGAAGACAGTTTATGGGTACACTTCAGATATTGTTTGTGTTTTTTTCTTTTTCTTTAATTATATAGAGTACCCTGAGAATATGTCAGGTATTTTACAGCTTTAGCAGGGGAAATTAAGCAGTGGCTGCACAAGAGAGGACGGATCACCATCATCCATCAAACCAGAACAGCTTATTAGAGTCCCACCTTGTTTCTCCATCCATTCATATACTGGTTGACAACTGTGGAAAAATGTAGGTGCAAGACATAAATGCCTCCTCTGGGTCCCCCTTCCTCTCCCCTATCAAGTTTCTTAAAAATAACCCCACAGGACAGCAAAACATTGTTTGATGAGAAGTGCTCTTCTTCTGATAGCTGCTTTACCAAGTAGATTCTTGGCACTATGGGATTCCAGAGCAATCTCACTGAGGAGTTCGGTAACTTTTGCATTCAGCAAGACTAGTGACAACTCATTTCTTAAAGAGAAAAGAGACTGAGTTGTCACACTTGTATTATTAGCACTGTCAGAACTAGTTTGTACAGTTAGCTCCAGTTCCTAAAGGCCTTTCGCAAGTGTCTGTCTCTTTCCATTCAGTTCAAAGAACATCTAGATAGAAAGCTACCTTTAAACATTTAACAATTTAACATTTAACAATTTAAACTTTAAGTTTGCAATGTTCATAATGAAAGCTAGTGAAAGAGCTCAGGTCATTATAGATTCAATGAGGAAACTCTAGTACTTATTAAAACACTAACTGTCCACGTCAGACCTCTCCAAAAATATCAGGGATCTCTTTAACAAAAATGCAATTGCTACTATTTTTCAGGTATACTGAACTTGTGTGGAGCATTAAGATTATGGAAGACTATGAGGAAGGTTTTTTTTTTTCCCTCCTCCCCAAAAGCTGGCAATTGCAGAAAACTGGAACAGAAACACATAAGAAATAAAGATATTACATATAACAAATTCAACCTGAATCATTATTTACTGAGAGTGACTATTCTTTGTTTTTATCTTAGCAGTATCTAGTGTATCTTTATTGCTATTGAGCAACACCTTACTATATGGCATAGCATATTATTATTTCCCAGGATAAGCAAAGAATGAATGGGAAGCAGCCTCGTGGAAGTCAGCGATGGAAATGGCATCTCAACCTTTCTCCAACTCACTGATGGAACAGAAGAATGGAGAAGCAGGGGGCACTCTTTCACTTGCCGCGGACTTCCGGAAATAGAAGCATCTTCTAAAAAGATTTCACGGAGCAAAGCCACCAAAGGTCTTGCCTGATATTTTTAACAGCTAAGTATCCCAAAAACAAAATTGTGGTCCTTACAGGGAAAGTGGAAAACAGACCGGTCTGAGGTGGTAGTAAGCTTAATATCACAGCTGAACGAGGCGCTTCAAATAAATACATTATCTGAACTATTTTTTTCCTTTTTTTTCCCCCACATCTGTAAATTGTAGTCTTATGGGCCATATGCATTTTTTTCCTTCATCTATAAAATCGTAGGGCAAATTGTGCAGGCAAGATTAAACTGTTGACTTTGTTGGGTGCTTTGACAGGAAGTGAACAGGAAATTTGGATAAAGTTCTCCCAGAGTTAAAACCAGCAGCAGTAGTGTCTGTCCAATAATGCTACTTCTACCATCATGCCAACTTGAGAACAAGTTACCAGAATCATAGCTAGACAGGCATTTCATAGAACAGGTATAACTACATCATCACAAAACCATTGCAAAATAACCTTTTCTATAGGTAGCACACCCCTTCCCTTGATATAGCTGTTCACTGGTTGGTTGAGGCAGTGTTATTACAGGATGTACTGGAAATTCTTTCCCTGGGACAGCAGAACATCATGAAGGGTCAAGAGAAGACGTCATCTGTCAAACTAGAAAGAAGTAACAGAACAGACTGTGATGATTTATATTCAGTCCTTGTGAAGAAAACTTTAAAATCTAGAATTGCTACAGAGGTCAAATCCCCACATTCAAACCTGATAAAACAGGACAGTAAGAACCACTCCTATCATGACAGATGTGATATGTTGCTCATCACTAAAAAGTAGTAGTAATCATGTTTCTCAACGTGTTCCTTATACTTGCACCATTAGGAAGAGGTAATCTGCAAAGAATTTCTTGTGGATTTTCTGTGAGAACAATATATGGGCAGGCATTACTGGTACACTGAGCAAATGTTCTTCAGTCTTCTCTTTCATCACAGCATTGCTCTCCTCTCCATAGATATTTATAGTGATGGATAACAATACTAGGCAAAAGGCACCTCAAAACACTGTTCCTCTCAGCAAACAGGCAGTACACCCAGAAATATTCCCTACAAATATCCTTCTGGCTGTAACAAAGACTTTTCAGCAAAAATGTCTAAAGAAAAAAAATAATGTCTCCCCTTCCTCCTCTAGCAAACACGATTTATAGGACTAACTTCCAAGGTTGTTCTGCTGATGTCATCAACCACAAGAATGAAGATGAAGTCATCAGAATTTCAGACATGGGGTTATAGTCCAGATATTCAGAATCTTGACATAAAAGAAGTCATCTATGCACCTGGAGCAAACTCCAAAGATATTTCAACATTTATCCTGCTCAGGGTTTTGCTTGCCCCATCTGTGTAAGTAGGTAATTAAATAACATTGCATGGTTCCACACAGAGAGATAAGAAATTGTATGTGACTGTTATAAATTTATCCATGCACATATGAAGGGAAAGAAACTTCATGAAGACAGTCTGGCAGTTATTTTCAATGGAATTTTGGGTTTGGAAATAACAAAACCTTCATTCTCTGGAATGAAAACTTGAAATCTACTGTATATACTCCCTTATGTAAAATCATTAGGCTTATAGTGTGCAGTGAACGTCTCCTTTTTAATACTTTAAATTCTCGTCTATCCAGTTAACACATTTTAGCTCAGAAGGCAGAAATCGTCTCTGGGCTGCTCAGAATCACAGAAAAGCAGCAGGATGTAAAAAGTGCTTCAGGATGAATTGTCTATTATTTTACACTCTTCCCATGCCATCGCTAGTATTTTGTTTCAACTTGGAACATTCTAATTAGCCCAAAGCATTTGAAGTGCATCCATCACCCAGTCCCTGTAAACTCATAATAACATAGCCGTCACTAATACCTACCTGTTTTAAAAGAAGAAACCTCCTACTTCTGCTTTGTACTAACGCTAATTAGGAGAAACACCATATTATATGGAGTAAAACATGTGCAAAACAGTACATGCATAATCACAACTGAAGAGGCTAAAACTTGGCAGCAAGTACCAAAATGGTTGTCTTAATTGGAAAATCCATCCCTCAACCTGCTTTTATTTGAAAAAGTCTAAATATGCCTGACAGGAATGTTCAAGCACATATGAAAGCTATGAGAAACCACATTCTATTAACATGGAGCTCTATTTCACATTTAGACCCAGGATAAACGGTGGAGTTTTTTTCTGTTTTATTTTTTTTGTAGAAGCAGATCTGAAACATAAATGACCCATGAGTCCTACCTGGCAACTTCTTAATGAAGATTCTCTTTTTTTTTTTTTTTTTTTTCCCTCCATTCCCTTCCTTATAGAGAAAGAGTTACTCATGGTACTGCATCAAATGGTCTCTTTATAAGTCTTTGCTCCTCTTCCTCCTTTCTACAAGAGTGACCCTCAATCCGTTTCAGATGAGAAGGGCACCTTAGAATTCAAGGAACTCTTCTCCTTTACAGCGGCAATACAATAAAGGAAAGTCAAGTTTTATGTTTTTGCTGTTTCTTTCAGCTGTTTGGATGCAAACAGAAATAAAAGAAAGCCTATTCCTACAATTATCAAAAGATTCTTTTAAATCCCCCTAACACTGAGAAGCTCAGAGAGAATGAAGTTGAAGGGTTCCAAGTGGACCTGTGGCTAAGGAAATCCATTTGGTTTTCAGCTTGTATGCTAATACTTTGCAGGAACTAACGCAAGAGAAGCTTGCATTTTTCTTGGTCTGCCTTGTTTCTGTTGGATATTATTGGATGATCACACGTTACATAAGTAAGGCTCAGATTTTTGAGAGCAAAGGAAATCATAACCTGACACAAGGTGAAGAACTTCACTGTTAAAATACTGGCTGATTGGAATTTTTGACTGAAGGAACTCCCTGAAGACAGCATTGGAGTTTATGTGGACTTGGACAAGGAAGGTGACTTTTTAAACACATCTTGTGTGTTTCCCAAATGGGTTTTCCCTCCATGATTGCTGCTTTCATTCTCAGTTTTTATCACTCCTCCTCTTGCAACATAAGTCTGCAATCCGTAATTGTCATGGTTTTAAATAATGTCATCACTGAATGGTTGGATGTAAACGGACACTTCATTCCTTTGCAGGGCATATTCTGTCATATAAAGCACATTAGTAACTGTGGCAGTTGCATCTCCACACCTATAGGTAAAAGGTCTTAGGCTAACAAATACTAACACCACCTTCAAAATAGGATTTAGGCAATGTCTTAGGCAACGTGCCAGTCCCCTTGCCCGAGGGAAGCCTCAGCACCGAGGCAGCAGTTGGGTGACAAGGACGGCTCCATGCCCACAGAGATAACACGGGCGGGAGCAGGTGAGGCCAGCCGGTGCGATGCCTGCACCCGCGCTCCGCACGGCAGCCCTGCTCTCTGGAGAGCGGCTGTGCCCACCGCGGGCGATAGCAGCAGCTCCTGCTAGTGCTCAGGATCCGCCCCCAGGACACGAGGGCAGAGACGCTGCGCTGGGCACGGTCCTGCTAGCCTACGCGGAGATGGCTTTTGGTTTTCTACACTGAAGAATTTCTAACGACAAAGATAAGGCATTTTCCCTCAGGACAGAGGTTACAAAATTGTAAAAAATGTATGCAAAATACTGGTCAGACCCCTCAAAGCATTATACAATCCCAAAGATCTAGTAGATCTGTAGGCATCTCCTGTCTTCACAAAACTGCTCAGAAATATCTGAGACCCTCCATTTATAGTTTTATGAAAAGTTCCTCCTCAACTTTTTTTTTTTTTTTTTTTTTAAGAAAAATGGAGGAAAAAAGAGTTTCCTTACAAAAAGAATATGTTTACCATCTTACCAATGTGCCAAATCAAGAGCACAATGGGAAGGTACTGTAAGTTTCGACTAAAAATTATATTTTTTTTCCCATTTATTCTGAAACCTATCAATCTCTCTATGTCCCTTTAGAACAGTGTATCTTGCTAACACATGATCCCCCCCCTGGGGTGGATAGCACAATCTATGATATATACTGTTTGCTCTTTTTGTCTGTGGTCTACAAGAAATACTGCTACACTATTTGCAATATTTTATGTGCACTGCTTGGAGACAAAAAGCACATGTTTCCAAATCAGAAATTAACCTTCATTTCCCTTTAATAATTTTTTCAGTCAGTTTGTCCCTAGGGGACATAAGATACTTCGATAAATCTTACAAAGAGTATAATTACCACGTCTAAAAGCAACATACTTTGTTTAGATTTCGCTGTACTCCATTAGCGGCATTGGCAAGCAAGTGTGATTCAACATCTTCCTTTTTATTGCTTTGTATTTCAGCACATTTGTTGTCTTACTGAGGACTGCTCATAAAAAAGAAAAAACCTTTCCTAAATTCCTTATTATTTTAGTGGACCACTTACGAAAACTACACTGAGTAATTTAAAAGGCATAATGGAAAACAGTCCTTTCCCAGGACAGCATACATTTTAAGGAGATGAGACAGAAGGAAAGTCAACTTTGCTGAACAAGTTGCGAAATTAGATTAAGTGACCTTGTACTTCAATATAGGAAACGTGTGGCCAACTAGGGAACTGCAAACAAGTCTCCTGAGTCTCTGTTTAAAGTATTAACCAACAGGCCAATCTTTCATTTCATCCTATACTACTGTTTTCAAGCACAACAAAAGACTGTTTCCTGCTCACTCCCCCATCCACTTGACAAAAAGCTCTATTACAGTAATGTCAGTAATTAAGAGGCTGACAGCAGAATGACTGAGTAGTGTTATGCAGCCCTCCGATCTCGTGAGAGACTCGAGGCTCCCTGTCTAGCATGCTCACCACAGTGATTTTGCAAATGGGGTTAGCTTACAATAGTATCTGCTGTGATGTAGTATCGCTGATCTTGATGAAAGAGCTGGTTTTGCTCTTAATTTAACTACTTATTATTTATTATTATTCTTCCAGCTCCATATTAGACAGCATGTGAATCCTTTCTTCTCTAGAACTATCCAGTAAAGGTACGTTTTCTGAATGAAAATCGTTCCCATAATACAAAGCACATTCCCTTTCTATTTCCATTCTTCAACCCAAAACAGCCTCTCGGGCATCCTAAACTTCACCAGTACACGCACTGTATCAAAGGAGGAAATGACTCATAATTATGCTAGCAATCAATATCTGCAATGCATTTCTTTCACAGTATTACAAAGAGAATCAGGCCATTAAATATAGCCATTTGTAATGTGCTTAAGTTTGTTGTCAGCATTTACGTTATAAACATATAAAGTGAAAATGGTTGCATAGGGCAAAGAAACCATACTACCGTTTATGCAAATGTTGGTGTTGTTTTTGACCAAGCTTCATCCCTAAAATAATCCCACTCCTTGCATGTTTCGGTGCACAAGCACGCAACTAATGAGTGTGCAGCAGCACCTTTGCAGGGCTGTTCAAGATTAGGACTCAGTTACAGTAGCCAATATGCTCCAAACTATTTGTAACAATCCTGTACCTTAGCTGCACTAACCTTACTGCTCTCTCCATCTTTGGCTTGTCCATGGCTTAGAATAATTGCCAGAACAAGCTATACAAAAATCTCACGAATTCATACAAAACAGCAAGTCTGGAATGTCTTATCCAAAGGAAGAACACCTTCCTCAATTCCTGCTAG